CATAAATATCCTCTCCCCCACTTATAACATTCACGGTTCTCTTGGGTGATGGGGGCTTTGGTGGTTCTTGCCTATTTTTCATGTAGGCTTGCTTACCTTTCTCACTAAATAACTCAGTGAGATACCCTTGTTTCAATAGATGGTCCACTTCACTTTGCAAGAATCTACATTCTGAAGTCTTATGCCCGTGATCATTGTGAAATTCGCACCAATGATCTGGATTGCGCTTATTTGGATTTGACCGCATCTCTTTCGGCCACCGTACCTTATCTCCCATGCTCCTCAAAACAGCTACGAGCTCGGAGGTAGTGACATTGAAATTATATCCACCAAATCTTGCCTTCAAACTTCCATCATCATCTCGTGACCCGCGTGTGTTTCGATCGTTCCCAAACCTTGATGAGGAGCCTGATTCCTTGTTCCTAGGTCTGTGATCGTACCTTTGATTATCTTGTCTTGACCGTGAGTCCTTTCCCGCAGGTCCCATGTATGGCTCGTACCTGTTTTTACCGGATCTCTTTTCATTTTCCACACGCTTTGAATGTACCTTTTCTTCTGTTTTATGTCGTAAAATAATGTCTTCTTCAATCCTCATCTTTGTGCTGTATCTGTTGTAGACATCATTCCACGTTGTTGCTGGGAATTCTCGAAGGCTTTCTTTGAGTCGCCTCGTGGCTTCTGAACTCTTCTCATTTAAATTACTAGCAAAGGCTATGGCTGCCCAATTGTCAGGTACTCGTGGCAGCGTCATTCTTTCCCGTTGAAATCTATCTACGAACTCTCTAAGCAACTCTGAGTCTCCTTGCTTGATTTTGAAGATATCTTCCATTCGCTTTTCAACTTTTTGAGCTCCCGAGTGTGCTTTGATAAATAAATCTGCAAGCTCAACAAACGAATTTATAGAATTTTCAGGTAAACGAGAATACCATGTTAGGGCTCCTTTAGTGAGTGTTTCACCGAATTTTTTGACCAAGACCGATTCAATTTCTTGCTTAGTCAAATCATTGCCCTTGACACCTGTTGTGAATGCAGTAACGTGATCTCGTGGGTCTGATGTACCATCATACTTTGGAATATCAGGCATTTTAAACTTCTTTGGAATTGGAAGGGGAGCAACACTTGGCTTCCATGGTTGTTGGGAATATTTATCTATATCCACGCCCTTGATCACGGGCGGTACTCCAGGTATTTGCTCTATGCGTTCATTTTGCTCCTTAAGCTGTTTCTGTTAGTACAAACTTTGTAAATCAGAATTAACTGGATTACCTGGGTCTCTCTCTTGTGTTTCACTAGGGGTTCCACCGGTGCCAGAATTAAACAATCTTGAACGAGGATTTTCCAAAGTGTTGTTGTTTGGAGCAGATGTAGGTGGAACAGCAGGCAATTGACGAATAAAAGCTTGGAGAGCGTTATTAACTTGAGCAGCGATAAGTTTTTGCAGAGCCTCATTCATGGTTTCAATGCTTTCAAATTGAGCCTGTCCATCCGTATAAGATCCATCAGGAGTGCCTTCACGAGATCGTCGTGGGGGGCCTCGTGGAGAACCTTGTGGAGAGCCTTGCGGGGAATCTTCCTGAAGTTGTTGGATTGTCTGAATTTCTGGGTTTCGTTGAGTGTTGTCATTGTTGTTTGACATGATTGACGCAATCAGGAAAATTAGATTTATATATGCTTGATTATCAGATTCCCGGTAACGGAACCAATTTGTTTAACCAAAAAATAGAATTTCAGTTAAAACTAGAAATTAAGAGAAAAAATCGGGTTACTGATAATCAGGAGACGAAAAGAATAAAGAATTTAGGAGAATAATAAAGCAGTAAATAAGTTTGTATTTCAATGTAAACTCAATGATATTTTGTGTCCTACAGATGTTGTGACTTTCTCCTTTTATAGTTAATTCTAAGAGAAAGTGTAATGCCTTTGTCTTAATGAGGCAATTATGAGCAATAAATGACATTAAAAGAAACGTTACTCAATCATTCTTGTTAAATACAAATTCTCTAACGTATTTGGCATTTAATGTTGAATTTGGACTCTTTTACGCTATCAGATTCATATCTTCAATTCCTTCTGATCTTCGAGCTTTAAATGATTCGAACAGGTACGAGTCTCCTTTCATCTGAATAATAGCTCGTGCCTTTAAATATCTTCTCTCCCGCATCTGTTGTTGCTCGTGCCTTCTAACTGATTACCATGCTTTGACTATTTGACCGGTCCACGTGTCATGACACGTCATCTTCAATATTTAAATTCAGCTTTTTTTCCCAATACAATCCTGACCTAACAGTATAAAATGGTATTTTATGTATAGTAATAATTAATCAATATTGGTAAGACTAATTTCAAGGATTAAAATTTTCAAGTTATGTTTTTTACAGTTTTTGTGTTTATTCATGTAGCTATGTATGGAAAGACACGATTCTTTCTACGTATTTGCCAAAGAAATAAAGTTTAGAACTTAGAAAAAGTTAGGAAAGACTATGAATTTCTACACAGTAATCACTAAATTACATAAGATTCAAGTCACAAGATGCAGTAAGAATGCCGAGGATGATTGCAAGGAAATAAAAGAAAGAGGATGACAGTAACCTTAAGAGTTTGTAACATTAGTTATTTTTATCCTATTTTGTTTTCTTTTCCGTGTCACATTAATGGCCAAAAGAGAGGTGATTTGTGATTTACAAATGGAAAACATAGTGTTCAAGGAACTTCATTTATGCCTATATCCCAAGATTGTGATAAGAAAATATTTCAGGAAGTTACAAATGTTAGGATATGTTATTTAAAGGCATCAGAGCAGCCTATACGGAATCTATATATCTTCGTTGTTACAGTCATACATAACATACCAAATTTTCCAGGGAATTAATAATCATGTGAAAATGCTAACAGAACAACATCTTCATTGGTATAAATTCCTTACACCTTCTCAAGATTTCATCAACATTCAAACATAAAATATTAATATCACTAGAAAGATTCAGGTAGCAAAAAATGGTCTTGACATTCAGTTGGAAGCTTAGCTCTACGTGTGTTGTAATGCAGGCTTCTCAAGCCACATCTCACTGCTTGTATAAAGCCTCAATTGTCCAAAAACACGAGCAGTGTTCGCTGTTGGCGCGAGTACAAAGACGATGTAGAGAAAGCAAGAAGATTCAAAATATTCAAGGACAATGCTGAGTAGATTGATTCCACCAACAAGGCTGGGATTCGGCCTTACAAGATGGGCGTTATAAATGAAGTTGCTAATTTGACAAACGAGGAATTCAGAGCAACTCACAACAGGTACAAAATGCCTTCTCAATCGTCTGAATCCACATCATTCAAGTATGAAAATGTGACTGTACCAACTACCATGGATTGGAGGAAAGAGGGTACGAAAATATGACAGCACCACATTGATTTCCTTATATGAGCATTGCGACACGAGTTGGAATATGGGTTGTCAAGGAGGTCTCATGGATAATGCATTCCAGTTTATCATCAAGAACCATGGGCTTACAACTGAATCCAATTACCCATACGAGGGAACCCAAAACGGGAAAGAAATCCAACCATGCTGCCAACATTACTGGTTACGAAGATGTCCCAGCCAATAGCGAGTCTGCTCTACTGAAAGCTGTAGCTCACCAACCTGTATCTGTCGCAATTGATGCTAGTGGACCAGATTTTCAGTTCTATTCTAGCGGATGTTTTTACTGGAGAATGTGGAACTGAGTTAGATCATGGTGTCACAACAATTGGATATGGTAAAACTAGTGATGGTACGGATTATTGGTTAGTGAAGAACTCGTGGGGAACTAGTTGGGGCGAGAAAGGTTACACTAGAATGCAAAGAAACATCGATGCTAAAGAAGGACTTTGTGGAATTGCTATGCAAGCTTCTTATCCAACTGCTTAAATTATCAGAAGTTTAATTAGTTATTCTCTAAAGACCATTGTTGGTCACAATGTTCATAATTTATGTGGTGTGCCTAGTGTTCTTATACACTCTGTATATACAATTTAAATATATTACAAACAAAAGCTTGTATGTAAAAAGACTGGCGTTGCTGATCGAAATTGTATCTTATAATTGCCTTTATGAATCTCTGTATATTGCACACTTCCGGATTGTTTCTCCATTTGAGGTTCTTACTGATAAACTTATATCCGAGTAATTTGCGTTAGGGAATTCAGAGGCTTAAAACATATATCAGTGACAATCAACTACAAAAGAGGGGGGGGGGGGGGGGGTGAATTAAGTGTTTTTAGATTGGTAAATCCTTTAGAACCAATATCCACTTGCTCAATGCAAGAAGTTGAATTTAGTATACTAAAGCAACCTGGATACTACTATTGAAACTTACGGAGAGAGAAGACTCAAGGAGTTACCATTTACCAAAATTCAAAACCAATGGCTTTTGTCCAGTCCGATCCCCTTGATACTTTCCTTGGTTAAAAGCAACAATTGAGTCCAGAGGCGGATGTAACTTGCGGGCTACGAGTTCAACTGAATCTATAACTTTAATACGCGACTTAGATATACATGTGAAAGATCATCAAAATCTTAATTAGTAAATATTACATTCTGAACCCATACTATTTAAAATAAAATATAAAGATTGTTAGAAATATGCTTTAGAAGCTGAAAATAGTAAAATTATTTTACTGTTTCAGCTTAAGAGTTATTTACTGCAGTAATTTAGTTTGAATTTGAAATAATTTTGAACTAGTCTTTAGGAGTGAACTAGTCTCTAAGAGTTTGTTATTTTCAGCAGATTTTGTGCTGATTTTTAGGTCTTTTAAATTAGTATTTCTCTTATAAATTGTAGTCCAAATGCAGTAAAATTAAATAGAATTTTCAGCTTCAGTTCCTTTTACATCTATTCCAGTATACTCTTTTTATTTTCTTATCATCTTCCCAGTTATTTCCCTTAATTTCTTTTATCAAGAAACAACAATTGGTATCAAGAGCCATCTTCTTAAGAGACCTAAGTATAATCTTTTTCTTGAGTGAGATGGAGACTGAAATGAGTTTTTCTCAATTGGCTCCTCCAGTCTTTGATGGTGAAAATTACCAACTGTGGGCAGTGAGAATGGAGACTTACTTGGAGGCTTTAGATCTTTGGGAGGCCATGGAAGAGGATTATGATGTTCTTCCGCTGCCTAACAATCCCACGGTGGCCCAGATCAAGAGTCACAAGGAAAAGAAAATCAGAAAATCAAAGGCGAAAGCAACTGTGTTTGCTGGTGTGTCTGCAACAATTTTCACGAGAGTTATGGCTCTCAAATCAGCAAAAGAAATATGGGATTATCTCAAGGGAGAATATACAGGAGATGAAAAAATTCGAGGCATGAAGGTGCTGAATTTAATAAGGGAATTCGAGTTGCAGAAAATAAAAGAATCTGAGACCGTCAAAGAATACTCAGATTGGTTGCTTGGCATTGTTAACAAGGTAAGGTTGCTTGGCACTAAATTTAGAGATTCAAGAATTGTTGAAAAAATTCTTGTTACGGTGCCTGAAAAATATGAAGTATCCATAACTACCTTAAAAGGATCTATCCAAGATTACCTTGGCAGAATTGTTAAATACATTGCAGGCATAAGAGCAAAGGAGGCTTATGAGGCAAGATGGTATGGTTGAAGGAGCCTTGGCAGCCAACCACAGAACTCAAAGCAAGGGTAATAATGCAAAGAAAAATTACCCACCTTGTCAGCACTGTGGCAAAAAAGATCATCCACAGTTCAAATGTTGGAAGAGGCCAGATGCAAAGTGCAAAATTTGCAACCAACTTGGTCATGAAGCTGTAATTTGCAAAGGCAAATATCAAAAGCATGAAGTAGATGCCCAAGTCGCCAATGAAGAAGAAGAAGATCACTTGTTTGTGGCAACTATTCTTTCAATAAAAAAATCTGATTTTTGGTTGATTGATAGTAGTTGTACAAACCACATGACATATGACAGAAATCTTTTCAAAGAGTTTACGTCTATGGGAAATAAGAAAGTCAGAATTGGGAATGGTGATTATATTCTTTCTAAGGGAAAAGGAACTGTTGCAATCCCAACAAAGTCAGGTACTAAGAAAATTTCAGATGTTCTTTATGTTCCTGATATTGATCAAAATTTATTAAGTGTTGGACAACTAATGGAAAAAGGATTTAAAGTATCCTTTGAAGATAAATATTGTTTCATTTATGATGCAATTGGACTTGAGATTTTAAGGGTTAAAATGAGAGGTAAAACTCTCATTTGATCCAACCGAAGATGAAGAATGGAAGCCCAAAGAATCTACAAAGTGCAGATAATCCTCAAAAAAAAGGACATAATGTGAAAATGAGACAAAGAAGTTGTCAATATTTCAAGAAAAACAAAATTTGGAAAGAAAGTTGACAAAGCCTCAAAGGCAAAAATGCAAAATGTGGAAGAAAG